ATGCCTCGCTACAAGGGAACAAGGGCTTGTGTGGCAATGTCACAGGATTAATGCCTTGCGAAGAAAATGTCTTGCGAAAGGGCCACAAGAACAACAAGATCCCTTTTGTTATTGTCTTCCCTCTTTTAGGTGCAGCCATTTTGTCATTAGCAGTTCTTGGGATCATCTTCAGCTTCAAAAGAAAGGTGAGATACTCACATTTCTCAGCAACCGTATCTTCGTATGAAAGCAAATAAATGTGATGTGTATAAGCAATGGAAGTAATCAGGGGAGTACATTCGGGTGACGTTATCTCTTTGCTTTTGCTTTTATTCTCAGAAACACATGTTCGTCTAGAGGATGTGTTGGATCAGAGGTTTCCACGTCCATCGCCAGGAGTCCAAGACAAGCTGAGGTTGATCATGGAGGTGGCATGTTCATGCTTAAATGCCAATCCCGAATCTCGACCAACCATGCACTCGGTCTCCCAGATGTTTTCCACTTGAGACTATTCCTTCCACAACTTCAAGATCTTCATCATTACGTGTGCTGAGTTTATTTTCCTTTTAGTTTTTGCAAAATAGTAAGATCTCAAAACAAATCAATAATTGGCATACATTAGTTGTTTAATGATATCATATAATTATAAATTTGTAATGTTACATTTTTATTATAATTTAATTATGAAAATAATATAATTACAATATTTCATAATACTACTAATTTTTAATCAAAATGTATTATTATAAAATTATACCACATAAAATGTCCTAGTCGGTGGAGTCATAAATCATTATCCATGCTATTGGAGTTGTTGAAAGAGGCATTAGCTGATGGAAACACACTATCTGCTACTTGTAATGAAATGAAGAACATATTTTCAGGTCTCGGTTTAGGGTATGAGAAAATACCTGCTTGTCCTAATGGTTGTGTGTTATTCTGGAAAGATCATGAAAATCAACAAGAATGCGATGTGTGTGGTACCTCTAGATGGAAGGAAAGTAGTGTTGTTGTGGAAGATGGGGTTGAGAATTTTACCAGTACAAAGGAAAAAAATATTTTTGCAAAGGTATTACGCTGGTTTCCTTTAAAACTAAGGTTGCAAAAATTATTCATGTGTTCAAAGATGGCTTCTTTGATGAAATGGCATGAAGAAGGGTGCACTAAAGATGGATTGATGAGGCATCCTGTAGATTCTTCAACATGGAAAGATCTAGATTCTTGATATCTAGAATTTTTTGCTAATCCACACAATGTTCGCTTGGGATTAGCTTCAAATGGTTTTAATCCATTTGGGATGATGACAGTTTCTCACAGCACATGGCTAGTTACCTTGATGCTGTATAATTTGCCCTCGTGATTGTGCATGAAGCAACTCAATTTCATCTTCACATTACTGATTCCTAGTCCTAAAGGCCCAAGTAATAAGATTGATGTATACTTGTAGCCTTTAATAGAAAAATTAAAAGAATTGTGAGAAGAAGGATTAAAAACTTATGATGTCTCTATTAATCAAAGTTTCCTAATGCATGTAGTGGTATTGTGAACTATTAGTGACCTTCCTAGACTTTCTGCTCTCTCTGGGTATAGTGCTAGAAGGATATAAGCCTGCCCTTATTTTAGTTTTGATATGGAATCTTTATGGTTGGTACACAGTAGAAAGTATTGTTATATAGGTCATGGACGATGGTTAAAAGCTGACCACATTTTACTATCATGATGTGCAATCATTTCATGGAACTTGCGAAACACATTCAACACTTATGAGGCTAACCATGTCTAAGGTGTTAGGGCAATTAGAATGCCTAGAAGATGGAGACAACAATGGCAACACCCAACCTTGGAAGAAAAAGAGCATCTTCTTTCAACTACCTTATTGGGAACATCTCTTATTACATCACAATATTGATGTGAAGCACACAGTGAAAAACATATTTGATAACACTTGTGGCACCATCACAGGGCAGTAGGGGAAGTCTAAAGACAATTACAAAGCACGATGTGATTTAGAAGATATGGATATATGCAATGACCTCCATCCCAAGGTGCACTTGCGTAGTAATACAAAGTACTTGTCAAAAGCTTGCTACCAATTGACCTCCAAAGAAAAAGATGCCTTCTTTAAAGTTCTCAAGGATCTCCAATCCCCAGATGAACTGTCATCAAATGTATCACATTGTGTTCAACTTAAAGCACACAGATTAATTGGACTCAAAAGTCATGGTTGCTATGTGTTGATGCTTGAACTTCTCTCTATTACATTATATAAGTCTTTGCTAGACAAAGTATGCTCAACCATAATTGACTTTTGTAACTATTTTAAGAATATTTGTTCTAAGGTACTATGTGAGAGGGACCTTGATTTGCTTGAGTATAGAATTGCAATTACCTTTTGTGAGATGGAAAAGATATTTCTTCCTTCATTTTTCACCATCATGGTTCATTTGGCTATCCACTTGGCGAATGAGGCAAAATTTGGTAGACCAATTAATTTTAAGTGGATGTATCATATTGAGAGGTACACCTTAAATCCTTGTCATGCGGCTCTAGTTTTTAATATATCCCTATTTTTATTTTTCAAAAGAAGAACCAATTTTTCCTAATTTTAGATACTTATGTTAAATCTCATATGATTAAAGATATAAAATTAATATGGAGATCTCTTTTCTATTGCTAACTTTAGGGACTTTTAGATGTTAATCTAGATTAATATATTTTTATTTTTGTTAATTTTATGCTTGTTTATGTATTCTTAATCAATAATTTGAATATCTTTTAGAGTGGTTTTTTTAGGCTTCTTTAACTTTGATTTTAAATTTTGCCTACACTTGTTGTGTGAAATGTTGTTAATTCATTTGAACTTGATTTCTCCCTTTCCATGGTCATGGATTTTGTTGGATTGAGTTTTTCTTTTTTTCCCATTTTTTATGAGGTTGAAAGTGGGTTTACTGTTGAAAGAAAAATTAGATTTTTATGGGAGTATTGGGTAATGAAGGAATGCAGTAAAGCCATCATTTTGTGAAGGAAAAACAAAAGCTTTTAAATTTTTTGAGTTATTTATAAGGGAAATCTTCTGTATACACTATACAGTACTTGGATACTGCTTCTAATTGATTTTAGGACTTATGGGCGCTAGTAGAATCATACGTTTGTTACATTTTAGTTGCCAAATATCAAACTTTTTGGTGTTTTATCATTTGGCTTCTCTTTTTAGAGGATCCAAATAGAAGAAGGATAGATGTTAAGGGCAAAGGGAGAATTGGGACATGCTTTGGGGATTCTTTTCTTTTCTTTTCCTTTCCCTTGTTTTTTTTGGGGGGGGGGGGGTGGGGGAGTGGGTTAAAAGGTTTTCTATGTTGCTAGTGGATTATCTAGGGGTAGAATTTTCATAAAATAAATTCTTACCATGCAGTTTTTTTTTAATTTATTTATAATTCTTTTTGTTAAACCCATATTAGTGTTTGCAAAAGTTGGTATTTTGTTGTTGTTAGAATTGCCTTTGCTACTGAATATGGATAATATAGCATCAAAACAAGAAATAGTCATATTGGTTTGTGAAGAAAAGTTAGTCTATTTTGTAATATTACCTACTAGCTTTACTAAATCTCATCATACATGAGATCATAAGAATGTGATATTGGTTATAGAGTTTTTTATGCTATCATGATTAAATTGTGTCCTTTGGTAGGCTTATCAAGCATGTGAAGCTTACATTTGAGTCACCATGCATTTCTTAGATGATCTAGTTTGAGTACAAAGCACTTATTGTTGCTTTTTCAAAATTAGATGTTTGAACTCTTTGCTGCTTTTACCATATCTAATTTTGACGCTTATATATGAAATCATTCCTATATTCATATTATTGATTAAAAATAATTTTATGCTTGTTTAGGTATTCTTAATCCATAATTTGAAATTTTGATTAAGATGTTATGTTTTATTTATCGTCTATGGCTAAACCACTTTGTAGTGTTTTTACATGTTCATTAAATTTTTTACCTAATTGATTCTAAAATTATTTTACAAAGGATTATTTGTCTAGTGTTTTATTTCAATTGTTAAACTTTTAAAATTGAACTTTCCCTTGTGTTTCTCTTTTCCTTCCACAGGACAACTGAAATCCTTGGCCCTTGCTTTTGGCCCTTGCTTTTTGTGTATAAGATTCTTGTTACTTGTTTGCTAGTTTTAGCCTCACTTTCGGTGATGAATGATGATTTTTTTTTTGTTTGATGAGATAATAAATGAAATGCTTTTTTATGATGTGTAACATCTTTATTTCTTTTATATTAGTTTTATTAGTTTGAATTGTGTCTGCATAATATATTTTTATTATCACCCATTATTATTATTATTATTATTTTATCAGCCCATTGTTGATCTTATTATACTTTCGTCAATTTATGGGTCTAAGTTCTAATCTCCTTACCTACACTAACAATTACCATATAATGCTGCAGTTGTTCTTAATTGACTTTTCCCTTTTGGATGGAATTGCAACTGATGGTTGTTTGTAGATTGTAGTAGACTTACATAATTCTTTTGATTAATAAAAAAAGAACTCATGTTTGTTGGTTTATTTTCAAATATATTTATAATAATTTATATTTGAGTAGGAACCTTTTCACATTAAAGTCTTATGTACGTATTCCAAGGTACCCAAAAGGTTACATTGTAGAAGGTTATTTAGCTTAAGAGTGCCTAACATTTTGTTCAAGGTATCTCTTGGTGGTTGAGACTAAGTTCAACTAACTATTACACAACGATGATGATCATGAAAAATAGGAGACCACTAGGGAGAAAGGGTAAACAAGGCTTTTAAGTGAAGAAGCAAAAAAGGGCTTTTTGAATTGAATTAGATGACTAGACATATATATAAGCACATAGATATGTGCTGTTCACCAGTGAGGAAATTGCTCCATTTCTAAAGTTAGTCTTTGTTCTCTCTTAAATGTATAATTAGTTGGTATATACCATACTTATCCTTTATTGAAATTTGCATGTAGGTGTCACAAGGAGATGATTATGAGATAGAGGCACTCTCGTAGACTGAAGCATCATGAGATCGACAAAATTTATAGCCAAACCTTTAATTTTTGGTTTGAAGAACAAATAAGTAGCATATAATTTGTAATTAATCAATTCATGCTATTACCATTTTCAAACAAATTTATTACGTAATGAATAGGTTAATGACTTGTTAAAGAAAGGAAATACTAAACTCATAGACCGAATCAAATGGCTTGCTTATGGGCCAAATAATAAGGCTAGAAGATACACAAGTTACATGGTTAATAGTTTTCGGTTTCACACTAAGGGCATGTTTGGTATAATGGTTAAAATTTAGCGGATAGTAGATAGTAGATAGGGGAAAGCAGTAACGGGTATTGGGTGGTGGTTAGCAGATCGCAGATAGCAAAACGTGAGTAGTGGATAGTAGATAGTGGATTCGATAGATCTAACTGTTTGGCTATACAATAGTTAGCGGTTATTGTTTAATATTAAATTACTAATAAGGACATGTTTAAAAA